CTTTGCCATCACACAGCCCACATAGGCTGATAGCATTGTGATCCTTTAACATGATACCATACCAGGTACTCTATGAAGTCATCGTCGGTCTTCATAACTAATTGTCCGATAGACAAATTGTCCTTCTGATACTGAACGTACGTTCCAGTATCTATTATCGAACATACAATTTCAATCATTTTATGGTGCCGCACTATTTGTATCAATTGGTTTGTCTAACAGGTGCAGATTCCCTGCCCAATCGGCTGAACTAACTTATCATTTACCGGTCAGCTATAATAGTTGTTGTCGTAGTAGCAAATCAGTGAGAATTCATTGTCGCCGTAAAAAATCAACTCCGCATCGTAGAGTCCTTCCTCTTGCATTAACAAGTACCTCACCCCCCACTTGAAAACACGACCAGAAAATTACGGGAGTTTCTTCCGTTTTTCCTGACCCTTAGCGCGGCCCGCCAAGCACAAACCCTATCATCGTGACACTGGAATGTCGCAATGGCAACTCATTGCAGTATCAACAACAACACCAAGGGATTTCTGAGAAGAATCAAGAAAAAAAGACCACATTTAGTGTGGGGACCAAAATTCGTTGGCAGCAGCAGCAGTAACAGCAACGGTGGCGTCAACAGCAGCAGCTTCGTCATCAGTTGCCATTTAACGGAATAGCGTCCACATATCTTCGTTTCGAAAAGTTTATACCCTTTGTTGTAAGGATCCAACTGCAAATGCAATTCTCGTCTCATTCGATGGATGAAGCCAGGCTCGACTGCCGCCGCCCCCGTAGCGTATTTATGGTAGCTTGGTGAGAAGCTCGTTGGCAATAAAAAGCCAAAAGTGTTCCTCTCGTTTAATGCGGCTATTATGAAAATCGTTGGTGCCCGCTGTGGAGTGCTGGTATTCATCTGAATTCAGCTGGCAGCATCCACCAATAGGAAAGTAGCAGACACTTCACCTGTCAGACCCTTCCGTCCGAAACTTTTTGAACGTGTTCAATACAATAGCTTGCCAATACGAGTATCAACACTTCATTTCACTGTATTCATTGGCAATGCTGTCCTGAACATTTCAACAAACTGTAAGGCTCTAAAAGGTTCAGTTTTAGGCCCTTCAGACCAATGTACTTCCCTTTCACATTAAGAAGTGTGCAACTAAATCACATGATGATGAGCTCACTATTGTAACGCAGATTTGCAAGCTATTCACTAACGGAGAAGACTTTGACAGTGATCTGGCTAACACTAAAAGCAACTACGATACACTTGGCCTTCCTGTAAAAATTTCAAATCAAACGGTATCTACTTCTTTACAAGCTTTAAATAATCCTCAAAATACCAAATAACCGCTTGAGACTTAACCAGATATTAGACTAGTTTAGGGATTTCTTTAAATTATGCCCAAAATGCTACATATACATTATTGCTGTGCAATTTATTTCGTCTCGTGTTTTTTTCGGGTCTCTGTCTGAAAGCGATAGTTATGTACACCATCATGGTTTGGCACAGCACAATTTCTTTTTAAAAAAAACTTTTAAAAATAGTTCAGCAATCCTGTAATGCGTCCAGCGTACTGCCATTCGAACTCTAATTGGATTACCTCGTCCCGCTCGCAAATCAACGCTCTTAAATGATTCTGTAATTTTCACTGTTCTTTTGTTACAGAGGTTCTAATAAAATAAATCAATATAGACATTCGGGAGGACTCTAATTGCGTCCGACCGCCGTCACAAGCAGCCTTTTTAGGTACCTTCTCGGAAATCACCATAGGACACTGCCAGCTTAGTCCACTCATTGCCCAAATTATGTAATTAACTCTTCAAATTACAAACAGTTAGACTACAAAATTAGAAACCGTTGAAAACTTTTTACCGATCTTAGGGCTTGTATGTTTGAATCAAGTTTACTTGAGCTGAATGTATCCTCGTCGAATAGACCGATGTACATGCGTGTATGTACACGATATTGCCCGATGTTCATAAGACGATTTGTCGAAGCAGCGTCCTCGTTTGTATCTATGCACGTGCGTGGCTATTTTCAATTTTGCATTTAAAGACCAGCTTTGATCGGATCCGTGACTGATTTCCCTTTGACACCATAGCAAGCTAAAATGACATCGAAACCGGCCGGTTGTAGCAGCAAGCGCAAATACAGCAGCTGAATAAATCAGGCCACTTAAGTGAGATACGCTGCAGCCTATTCCGTAAATGTCGTTTTCGATATATTTGAGCCAGCACGAATCCTAAAATGGCAGTGGGTACAAACAGACAGAATGGCCGAACGAACGACAAAACACAGCAAATTTTCTCGCCGTCGCAGGAAAACAACATTAAGCAGAGGTCGCATGGGGTCATTTCCGTGAATCAGTCCCACACTGACCACTGAAGCTGCAGATGGGGGCGGCGGTCGTCTACCGACCCCGCAACGATGCAAAGCCCCGAGCGGGCGTGTACATTCAACAACACCGTGATAAACAGAAGAAACGTAAGTTTATTTTATACCAGCACAAAGGTAGTTGATATGTGAGTAAATGCATTTATGTGCCTATGAGGCTAATCGGGTTGAGCCCATCGCGAGAGACCAGCTGCGGCAGCGTGACATTGATCGGGTAAACAACTGCTTTTGTCCATTGATCTGTCTTTGAGCTTGTGTGCAGACCGAAGTCGTTACCTGGCAACGGGTAAAAAAATAAATTACTTCCACTGACGTGATCAGAAAAACACATCATACATCTATGCGTCGCGCCTAGCTATGTGCGTTTTTCTGTATGATGTGTATAGGGTAACGCGCAGAGGAAATGGGGTATATGTTCTGTAACATAGTAATTCCGCTATCACGCTCAAGCAAGGATTTGTGTTAGTAAAAGTTATCAAGATTGAGCAACACAAGTGAAGGCTAATTAAGCTAACCGGCTCGAAGAGACCTGTCGCAGGCAACAGAACCTGAATAAGCGTTGCAATATATATTAGGTGTGAACTTAGCGTAATATGAATATGTACCTAGGGCAAAGAACATACCTGTTAATCAAATGAGGATATGGGCGAGAACTAAACAGTTTGCTCGTTACATAAATATTATTATATTTTAAACTATGAGAAAAACAATATTATTTCTAAGCCGTAAGGTTAAATGACGGTCATTCACGTAGCTTGTAGTAAAATTCATGCGGTTTCCATATGGTCAATTTTTTTGGAGCTGAATGCGCAATAATATCATATACAGCCTTTTCGGGTCTGCTTGCTATCAGGCAGCATGCCTATATATACGTTTCAGGCCAGATACGGAATTTCTCGAGACTTTCAGAAATTTTTACTTTGAAAAAAGCTACAGCTTCAGAAAAACACAGGAGTTAATTTACAGTAATCTAGTTTTACGCTTTTCGGCATAAATCTTCAATAATGAGGTATTTAAAAATAATACTAAACATTTTTCCAAGAATGATGGAAAATAATATGCAAGCAATATTTGTTTACCTTTAAAAGAACCGTTCACAAAAGGAGCATTCAATGTCAGTGACCGTTCAATCGGTGACCACTGTCAGGCGCCAATACATCTGAATTCTATTTTATGTCTGCCTTAACCCGAATGCGCCGGCAATTTGGCTATACCTACAGTCGAATAACAAGGAGTTGATCCAGGATATATCTATCACTTATGCACCGTCGTGTCGGTGCATGAAGAAAATAAGTTCAGCTAAAAAAATATAATAATATATCACACATTAAATATGTACAAATGAACGCTACAGGGTCTCAACCGACCGACTCTTCTAACTAATGAAATCAACAATGATAGACACAGACCTCTCCTTTGATACATGTTTGATAGCGTATGTCAACTTTTTTCGTAGGCTTTATATGTTAGTTAAAAGTACGAGAGAAGGGGGGAAAAAATAGTGGCTAACGGCACACAGATACGCGGCGCCGCTCTCTTGTAGTACCGTATAGATACGAGTGTACAAGGTCCCTGTGATGAGCTTCCATGTCAATATTGCCATTTCCACTTCGAACGAAGTCCGTCCATAAGGGAAGATTCGATATATATTCTATCCACCTGGGTATTTGATTATCTAACGCCTATCCGACCCAGTAAAGTTTGGGCTTTATTATTTGTGCTGGCCATCTTAAGCACATTTTCCGTTTTCAAGTGTATCCAGCTTCTCTTTCATACCGCGAATATACAACTGGAAAAAACAAACAGGAATGTAGTTGTTTATAGCCTTCGGATTTTGTTCAGGCCGAAACCATAGTAATGCTGATTAAAACCGTTGGACGTATGTTATCTTGCATTTATGTTTATTTATCGTTTCTTTTAGCGATCATCGAACCGTTGTTTGGCGTTATTCACGTATATTTTCGCAGAAATCGACCCGCTTTACGACAGACACGTGCCTCTGACGTTCGTTATTTGCATTGATCAGATATTCCTCCTTATAGATGCCTCCAGCCCTTGGCATCCTGCCGTGCAATATTCGATCTTCGTACTCTTAGCTAACGCGCGAGAAGACCGTAACACGACAATTTTGCGTACGTTCTACGTCTGATGATATGAACGTGTTATTATATATATTGAAGACACACGTATATTTATACGTTTGTTGGATTTCACTTGTGTACAGTTGGCTTGCCAGTGAACCAAACGTTATGACAGCCTACCCGTGTAATACCGCAGACCTATTAGGACCGCAAAATTCAAATGGTCAAAAACACCTTTCATGAATACTAAAAGAACCCCTTTGCTCTGTACAATTTATAGTATTTTCTTTCACATCCGTCACTTAGTCTTAAACAAATAATTGCTTAGAACTCAACCCAGGGCCTCAGAGGTGTCGTACAACAGGATCTTTTGCCGCTTGTTTGAGGAGTGTATTGTCAGTTATATCAGCTCAACGTTATAGACCCATCGCATTGTACGAGAAGCCATATATTGTCAGGTCAATGAAACATGCAAACAACAAAGCACCTTTCAGTTGCTGCGTTACTAAAACGAAGCGTCTGTCCTGCGACCGGACTCTATCACCGTCTTTTACGCGTTAAGTCAGCACTGCAAAATTCAGCCTAACTCCATATCAAGTGCCAACTGTCCAATTGTCATCTGTGTCGTCGTTGCAAATCTGTTGCTAAACCACTAGGTAGTTCATGGAAGCCCGACGGCGAACTCCGAAAAGCTGTTGCAGGACTTCATGAACGGTAAACGACAGGATCCTGGAAATATTGCTTTAGATATCGTTGTGTTTAAGCCTTCTGGCCACTGTAGAAAAAATTACAGATAATCCAAAACGATTTTCTACATCATCCTACAACACTTGTCCATGACTCTCATAAATAAGAAGACACTATTGCTATGACCTGTTTCGATTTAAGACCTTCATTTGCTCCGATTGGCTTCCTAATTGATACAGCGTGATAATGTCACCGCAGCGTCGCAGTTTATAACCGAATGCGACATAAGGATAATGTAAATTATATATGTAGGGACATAGGCGATATGACGCATAAATGTTGTGTCAGTCCGCATTAATCCACATAGCTGACTTGACTGCGAAGTACCTAAATGAAGATCACAAGGAAATACGCTATCTTAAGGAAATCTTACAAAACCACTGCTAAAGATTATAAGGATACGATACAAGAAGTATGAAATTGCAAAAAAATATGGAAATGTACTTCAGGTATTCACGAAGACGATGATGATGTTAAATATTGCAGGTAACTATTTGATGACGAATCCCTTTGAGGGAGGTCTTCTATATCCTGCCATGTCTGCTTACTACAGGTCTTAATATCGTTCTCGGCGCTCTTGCTGTGAAGGCTCTGAACGGCACGCCGACTGGTATACCCTCAACGGCGGTCGACTTGACAACCATCTGCTTTCTTTTCTCTTGGTCAGTCGTTGGTTCATGGCGAAATATTTTGTTGCCCCTAGTTCGTGATACGTTTTTCGTTGTTGATCATTTTTTACATATTCATTACCCAACGATGGCGTATATTTGCTGTTGTTGTCGTTGTTGTTGACGTCATTTTTGATACCTTTGGGCAGCGGTGCTCGCTGATCTTTTGTCAAATACGCACTAAACGTCTGACGTCTGTTCAGTCGAATTTCAGTTTAACCATCGCTGGTGCTTGGCGTTGGTACTTTATCGTAGGACCAATAGTCCGAGATCCACCGTGCCACAACGACCACGGCCAAGTGCTGATCGACGTCGTCAGCCAGCGCGTCAACGTGGACTAAAACATAAGGACCTATCACAATATGCGACACTCGGTTGGTGTCAATGAAGTTGCCAAATGAGTGACTGTGACTAGGACAACAAAAAAGAACCTAACCCTGTCCCCCGTCGTCTCCGCGGAAAGTCGCAAACAGCAAACGTATTACCAAGCCCACTGTGTAATGCAATCGTACTGTTTTTTGTCATATGCGTAGTTGATGCCAGCTTCACCCATGGCGGTTTCGCTGCTGTTGACGAAGGGAGAAAGGCCATTCAAGTGAGATCAGTCCACGCGTCAATCCTACGGAAACGACATCATTCACTCGATCCGATCAATGTCATCGTCGTATTGATTTGTTGCTTGGCAGACAGATGTTGCAACGTACAAACGGAAGAAAAGGTAAATTTATTTAGGACGTAAAATCGTTTAACTTTTTGTTGAACTGCCGACATGGTCGTACATGTTAAGGCTGTCAATTTCAAATGGTGGCAACCGAATCTTTTCTTGTAGGTTTGGCTGATACCGTCAGGAAGGATGATATGTTAATATAAAAAATACATTAGTGATCGTCAGGATTGTGGCCGCAAAAAACAAAAAATATAAACTGCATCGTAGTCAACAATGGTCGCTACCATCTTCATTGTCATGAAGGGACAACAGACTTTCTTAAGTGCAACTTTACCTAAGTGTTTTTTGTTTACCGCAATGTAAATTGATAAATATGATATATGATGAGTAAATCTATTTAGACACAGATTCCGAATAAATTATCATAAAAGGGCTTGTTATAGATTTGTTCATCGTTTTACACAACTCGAATACCACTCTGAAAATTTCTCACTCGAAAGTCATTGATGCAGACACACGAATACAGAGATGATGGTTGAATTTCTAAAAAGCTTTATTTGATTTAATCATTATAGTGTGTCGGCTAACCGGCTTCAAGATAAATGTTTGCTATCCTTATTTATCATCGCGTGAAAATCTGTCGACGAAAATTGTGTAGTATAGTCTTGCATCTGGGGCGCTTTCTGTTAAATCAGAATGTACCGGCGATGTAGATGCGTGCTTATATTTTCGAGCAGCTTAAAAATAGTGGCTTAACTAACGGCGTCTCTTGCCTAATGGGCAAGTCCGAACCGCTACTTGATGGATAAACTATTGATAGCTTGCTTAGAAATGGCCTTCAAGGTATGTGCCCTTCTAAGCTCGCAGGCGCATAAGCGTTCTTTTTTTTTACCAAGAGGGCTTACCGTACATCTTACCGGAGTAACGTGCATGTTTTACCTAATTCTCTATAGTATTTCACTATAGTCTATGGCAACGTTGTATGCTTATGCCTACCGCAACATTTACCGATTCAATGATCGAACAGATTCCAAGTGCAGCATCTCCAATAGCCCTACCCAGACAACCGCAGCAGGAAATGTAGCACCTCATCCATATTACGATGTGCAGAAAATTTTCAGGAATAACAGGGCTATTTTTATCGCTGTACCTCCCAGTTAGTCTGTGTGCTCTGTGTATATGCTTAGAAGTTCAGTGTACAATGTATAATCGGTCAGCGCGCCCAAATGCTGATGTTTCTTTCTTGGTCCCCGATGTGACGCCGTCACTCGCCGAGATCCGCTATTGAGGTGGTAACTATGGCCACATAATCATCTTGAACGTAGAAGTTGTGAATTAACTTTTATGTGTCTTATGGTGGCACTTTTGTGCCAATGTCACTCTGCACCCCCAATGCCGTTAGCAAAATTATTGCAGCTCTTATTGCAGCACTGTCAACAGGCAAGTGACCAAAAGCAAAGTTTGCTTTGAAGAGACGAAGTCTAATCTTCCTAGTATCATCTAAATCAGGGTCTTTTCATTAAATCTGTTTAATACTATTGAATTCTATTTTTCTGATGTATCGCTAAACGAAGGAAGACAAACGTATTGGCAAAAAGCTAAAGATGTCAGCTCGTACTGTATATAGTCTCAGTTAAGTAAAACATTTTTCTATTTTTAATTACCCAATGTATACGCTTTAACTAAATCCGTTTGTTCTGATCGAACACCGTCGTAACAGATTGTCTAGCAAGCGTAACTTAGAGCCAGACAGTTTCGTTTACATCCGCCAAACATTTCATGTTATTTACGATAAGGCTGATCTGTTTCAGTCTGTTGATAGCAGATTTGCAAGATTCAACTTAAACCATAAGCTTCGATTATTCCTTTGTGAAATCATCGCTATGCAATCCCCTCCCGTTTTTTGTAACATGGATTGATCATGTTTTTCTTACTCGAGCCCGTGAAGAAGTGTGTCTCAATATCACTGCTTCATTATTATTTTCATAGTTGGGCCTCGTGCTACGAAAGGCCACGGTTACTGTGTAGATAGGTGGCTCCATCCAGGAGTGGATTATAATTCGCTATCGGTGGTAACGCCCCAACATCGAGCGGAAAATAGCTATAATTTTCGAGCTTTCCGTAATGGTAGGGCGGGTCGTCGACGAACATAATGCAGCCAGCAATAGACCTTAGAAGGCTACAGAGTCGAAATTCTCCGTTTCAAACTATATACAGATTCAAAATATATTAGGATACGGGGGTTATAGTGGCAAACGGAGTTGTTCAGTTCTGTCTTCTATTGGCATGATTTTCAGCTTGACGAGTATAAGGCTCCGTTACCTTTAGCGCATCGATACAACACAGACTCCGGATAGCTCTCTCAATGCGGTGACATGGCGCTGTCCTTCATTCTTTCTCCATTATATAATAGATAGCGGATAATACTGCTTACTATCAGTTGGAAAAGATCCGATTCTTTTTAAAATAGTGATGGTCTAACATCGTCAACTAAGAGGAAGTCTTCAATCGAATTTAACTTGCTGCATATATCTCCCAAAATGCTTCGTGTACCCAAAAGCCTTAGGAATTTTAAACAGCCTCAAAAGCAAAACAACAGACAAGATTATTTAATCTTATTTGTGTAAAAAAAAAAATGAAAAGGACCATTTTTGACTCGTTATTGGAGGGACCAGAGTTAGGCTATCACGTCGGGTAGCGCGAAGTATACGAGTGTGAGGTCCACGATACCGCATAGTTCCTCAAGTCCTCAAATGATATGAGTCTGCAGACCAATATTTAATGGGGTTTAGCCTTAACCCTAAAATGTAATCATTAATCATAGTTCTTTTTGTGCCCACCAGTTCACCTATGAAAACGTAGAGACTCAACAGCTAAAATATTCACAATACGCGTACGCTTAAACGGTATTAACTACCTGCTCATTCACTATGAAAGCAAGCGGTACAATAAAATAAACAGATCATCAATTCAGCTTTATCAGCTGCGATAGGAATTATGGTTACGTTAGCGGTTTCTCGGGCGATATGGAGCGTCAATTGTGACAGTGCACGAAGGACGTCATTTCCGATTCATAACGCGCGATGGCTGCCGCAAAGACAACTCTGTTTATAGCAAAACATGCTATAAACTACAATAAGTCCCAAAATAAGTAAAGGTCGAATATTTACTTCACCTATCTAAGCAGCAACAGATCCACGAGCAAGAATCATCGATTCAAAATGGTCGATGAACATTTTCGTACTTTACAGGACCTAGAGTACTCCGCCCCATCGATAAACCAACCTGAACTGAACCCAGATCGCAGCGAATACAAGCAGTCGCTCTGCTAGTAAATCAAATATCGGCTAAGTTGTCTGTTCAGCAGGTCATATGTACGAGATAGGGCGGACGGTGGCGCTCCACTTCCAGCGATTATGAAGTTGCGTATTTCGATGAAATCGTGCGATAATCCAAAATCCCAACGGAGTCAGGAAATCAATAAAAACGGGAGTTCCCCGGTCATAACATCTCGTGCAGTTCTAGCTCATTTACCTACGCTATACTTGTAAGCATAGAAGCGGGCACGGATGTAACGATTTCACATAAAATTGTTTTAATTGGACAGACTAAAAGCTATGGCTTACGGGATTCGGTCATCTACTTCCGTGATATGTTATCGCTAGAGTAAATGTGGATAACAGCGTGCTTTTAAAAAGCCAATTTATGGGCATCGAACGTGGTTTCGTATAAACATAACGTGGCAACACTCTATCAGAAGCTATGGTAGCAAATATTGATGAAGAAATCCGTATGTAAATATATGCGATGCTAAATGTATAGGTAATATTTGACGAAATAAACTTTAGAACTCCTTTGCTGGAAAAAAAGATTATTACGTTTCATAAAATTACGATCGAAACCTAAAGGGTCTCACTTCGACAACAGCGAATCGAGACATACATGCCTGCACGCATCCGTTGAAAAACCCAGTAATCTCGCCTCTGCTTCAATGAAAGAGAACCAACTATCAGATGAAGCCCATTAGCTATGATATAAAACATGTCACGCTCACAGAGTGTAAGATTGGTGGGGAAAACAGCAACTGAACAGACCGTAATTTTCACCTGTGCATTAGGCAAACTACTGACAAACAATATATAGAATAGACTGTTTTAAGGAATCTATTATTGTTTTTTTTTTTTCATCAAGATGCCATTTCTCCACAGAGAAGATAACATATGAAACCCATCAGTCCTGTCTTTTCCAGAGGTCAGCAATTTTTAAAACACTTGCATATAGTACGAACCTGTGTGTGAGGACGGCGTAATAGGTTACGATGCAATGATCGTATGCTAGCGGACGCTGCGCCACCGACCAAATTGAAAAGATGGCACGCTAGAGCATCTGCACACAGTCGATGGAAGCTCCATCTGGAGTTCTAAAACATATCAGAAGATGTCAATAAAATTCAATAAATGGCAGCGCTTACTACCTGCATTAAATACAACATACACACACAACCGTCTCGGGCGCACTGTGCCTGCCGGGTGTTCCTACCCTTGCTACGTAAACAGCATACACGAAGTGGGAAATCCGTCTTATGGCAGTGTAAAACAAGCTTATGGTTGACCCCTTCAGACGATTGATGACAGCTATCTTGACAGAACTTTATTTGACTTATTAAACAATGAGGTTCTTATTTTTTTTTTTTTTTTTTTTTGCATAATCCTAGCCATTGAAAATCGTATAACAGTAAGTGCGCATAACATTCCCCAATGTCAACCAAGATCAAGCACATTTAGATATGCGTTACGACAGGCACAAACGTTGACTCGTTACAAGACGAACATCGATATAAGGTGATCTGGACCGTGGACTACTTAAGAAGCAAAATGAAACTTCGTGGTTTCATTTCCGTAGAATTGCTAACTTCATATTTCAAGGTGTAAGTAGTCGCCACGTAAACAGCTATAGACTGGGAATTTTTTTTTTTGCAAACTAACAAGGTGCATTATTGTACACTCCCGAGGGTATCTCATGCTAAAAAATCGATCTGTCCAAACTGTTTATTGTATTCGTGAAAAGGGTCCAGCAAACGTTTTTGGACGGTAGCAAATAAAAGCGTGTTAATGTTCTCTAGCTTAATTATATATTTATAAATTATTATAAATATAAATTTGGTTCTTTTTTGTCACTGGTACGTAAAAGATCGCCAAATAAATCACCCGCATTTATCATAATTTATGTTCCGAGTAAAAAACTTTTCCAGCTAGAAAATAGGTGCTGACCTGAAGCATCTCTGGTAACCATTCGGCTCGAATAGAGTATTTGAAAGCTGCACGTGTCCGCATTAGGTTGACTTAGTATTCTGTCAACCTTTTGATCATCGACAGCCATTAACAAGTAGATAATATTGCATACATTGTATTTTATAAACTCATTATTTAACTGTTTAAACGAGATGCAACGGGACCAGTTTCTTCTATTAGACTCGCGTGCTTCGCATGTCTCTATCGGGGGTAAATTTCAATCTTGACCAGCTGGAATCGTCAACGGTTGGGCGGAAACCCTTGAGATATTCGCATGTCGTTCGAAAGAACTCTACGACCTTTAACGCCTAACAGTTATGACGAGATCTATTGTTAGTATCATTACAACAACAGCGACCGACATACTGCATATGTATTTTTTTGGACAAATCCTGCTCCCACGCTTCGGGAAGCCTCCCTGTTTACCGTGAAGTCGAACAATTATTTGCGCGCAGTGTTCGTTCAAAGTGTGTATCATCTTATTTGTATTCTACGCAATGTAACTAGACGCTATGACTCGAGCCTATTCATCAATACAACGCTAGCGAAGTAATGGCCCCGAAGAAAAGCTGTTTCCTATCTGCAAGTTTATTGAGAGAATCAGCATTCGTTTTAAGGCAAAAACTGGTAACAATAAAGCAGCGTCCGTAAATTAGCGCAACTAAAGAAGACGTAGGGCTCGTACAGTGATTAGTCAATCGATAATGCACAAATTCATCATAGCGCTAAGAGGACGATTACTATATTAGGACAGGAAGAGATTACGCCAGTGGCGGCGGCGGCAAATGCTTCTGCCTCTGCGGTACTCACCACCAGGCAACGTTACACCCAAACAAAGCCCAACTCAAACAACAATAGCAGCAGCAGCACCCCCATTCGTTGTTCAAACGCAAAAAAGAAAACCACCGTTCGTAGTTGACTCATTTGGTCGACGTTACGTAGCTTGTTGTAAGTAATATTTAGCATCGTAAAAATTATTCGACTAATTTAACAAGGCTAGCTGCTTTACTCTGTCTGGTTGGGCATCGAATGGCTGCGCGTCGCACACTAACCCTGTCAAATCAGAACGACCCCGTGACTGGTTCTGTATATGAAGACGGCAAGATGTTTCGGTTGATCAGGGCACCCCCCCCCCCCCCCCGCTTCCTAACAACGGTCCTTGTGTATTAACCACGAAAAAAAAACACTTTTTAACATGTAGTTTAACATTCAGCAAATGGGAGACCTTAGATTTCGGTAGCTCATGTATTTCTGAAATCATCTACAGGCAGTAGACTGGCTCAGTTGTCGAGAACAATATCTGCTCCATGGAAATTTGCGGTCATATATGTTTCCCCACAAATAGCAACAACAAACAAGAACAACAAAGTAAAGGAGTGGTGAAGAGGAAACGGTGCGGAGGAGCGCAGAGATTCTGACACAAACGAGCAAATCTGCCCTGTCTTTTGTGCCACTTTAAACAATCACAACGTTGGTGGTAACGGTGGCAAATGTGACGGACATAAAGTGAGAAACGTCGCTCACCTCGTACAGGGAGATGGCCATGGACGCGAACGATGCTACCTGCTGAGACAATTCAAGATGTCGGCGAACACCGACATCGCTGGACAGGTATCGTTACATAAAAAGCAAAAAATGCGACTAGGCGTTTTTTAAACAAAGATTACTATTTTTTAGTTTTCGATTCATATTACTTTATTTGGAAGTCGAGTTGAAATTTAGCTTGGCCCTAGTGTGTGCTATTGGTACATGCTCACGTACGATGGCGTGGTTTTCATTGATGCATATACGCCTCGTTGGAACAGGAAAAAAAGTAAGGAAAAAAAAATACATAAAATAACCATAACAAATGCAACGATAAGCTTCATTCTTTAATTTGGTTAGCTACGAGTTTCAATAATGGCAGTGCCAAACAGAAAGTAGCGTTTACAACGAGCTGTTGAACCCGATTCGATTAGCTCGATATTGGTTCTGTAGGAACGATTGTGTAGGCCGCATATTATCATTTATAGAATCTGATTGGAAGGATAGTACTGCAATCATGTTCAGAAATAACGTAAGTTTTTAGGGTACGGTGTAGGCCCATACTGTTACATATATTGAGGAGGTTTCGAGATGTATTTAGTCTCAATTTTGCCTCCCTATTCCGTGAGTTGATTGAACTTGCATATTTCAAGTGTGAGCTAATCCTTATAGGACAAACGGTTGCCAGGCGTAAATGCTTGATTGGTTTAAGGTTAAACAAGAATAACCGTTTGGATCACTGAATATAGCCTCTTGTTTTCGGCTTAGCTCATTCGCTCCGCACGCTTATTCCCAAACAAACAATGAGTGGGACACCATCAACAGTCATTTCTGCTAGTCGGTATAACCCACTTCCAAAATACGAACATTGCACTTTTTTTTTCCCTTTTCGTAATTCGATTATTTGAAATTATGCCCGTACCTATGTTATGCATACCATAGTTTTCTACAAAGTGTACCGACGATCAAAATTGAAATTACTTAATTAGAAATGTTCTTTCTAACCATTTCAGCAGCGGTCGTTTCGACACGCACCTTTCCAATTCATTGAACCGACTCAATTTAATTAACTCGAGTTTCAATTATTTCGGAATTGATAAACGTTTTCGAAGACGCATCTGACTAACTAAATTGACAAGTAAGTGATCACAATTTCATCATATAACGTAGACGCTCCTTATTCGGTTGGCATATTTTTGACCTACAACTGCCTCAAACAAATCGAAAATACCAGTGGTAATGGGTAGAGCATGCTGGCACAATTTCGAAGATAAAATCTAGCAAGTCATAATTGTTTTATTGCGAAAGTCCAACGAATTTATCGAGCGCTCGGCAATTGTTTAGCCGAACCTGTTAGCGAAAATCGGCTTGTCCATCGGCGAAATCTAGCTCAGAATATGCCCCCTGTGCGACTAATCATCTTCAATTTGAAGGTGTACAAGTTAAATGGTCAACTGATATTATAAATTCGTAAAGCTGAATTGTGTGTAGAGCTTTAGCGGCTGACGAGTGCCCCATCATCTCCGTTATTAAGGTCTAATTCAATCCAAGTGATAATGGAGTGTTCGATTAACCATAACGTGTGGTACTCCTTTTACTATGAGTGAAGGCTGAATACGTTCTGTCGTTTCGGTTTGTTAAGCTTACAATCAATGAAACCTCATATTACGAAAATGCCTAGATCATACGCTTAGGCAGAGAGATCTAAGCGTGTAATCAGTTACGCTTCACTACGAACATCGCGAGTATACCGGGAATGACATCTTAAAACAGCTCTCTCTCTCTCTCTCTCTCTCTCTCTCTCTCTCTCTCTCAGGTCATGGCTGAATACCTTTTGACCCGGATTATAACATACTCCAAATCTACGCCACCAGTCGGGCAAAATTCCAACGATAGCTGTTTGTTCTGGGTGACTCAGATAAAAATGCGTTAGACTGCACAATTTGACGTTTTCCTTTACATTCGCTGATTCAAATGTACGTAGAGCCATTCTTTCCACCTTTGCTTAACTACGACACCTGCATGTTATTTGTGCGCCTAACAATATGGCTAAACAGATTAATAACAACAGATCAAGGTGTGTTATATAAACGTATGAAGAAATATCAACTATGGCCCATTTGAAAACATAGCGCTCAGGCCCAAATGCCGATTGTGCAACCTGTACAATACGAACATGGAAATCACGTGTAGGCTTTCCATCATTTCGGATCATTCATACCTTAATATATTTTCCGCTTATTATTAAGCGCTCAATTCATTACGACGCCTCGCCATGACTCATCTTGCCTATTACCTTTCGCTACACAAGTCGTTGTACTTTGGCCTAGGTTCTTTAAATGCGCCAGTTGCAACCTTGCGCGTCATGTCCCGATGTATAATTTTCTATTTTCTATACTGTACATAGTTGTTTTCTGTTCATAAAGCATTCCTTAGGCACAATTTATCAATTGTTTTTTTGACGCTGTTCGCACATTGTACTGTCTCTACTCGCTATAACAAGCGTCTCTAATTAGAGTCTTTATTAAAATCTACATGGAGTTTACAGGATTCTGTGCAAAAATCGACAGTCAAGACGATAGTTCTTGTCCTTTGAACTCCTCTGAAACATAAACGGTCGGAACTGCCGTGAGAGAAATTTCAGATCCTGTCATCACTGGTTCGTTGATACCTATTTGACGTTCGTCTTCTAATCATCTAATACCGAGTGTTTAAGCAGCATACGAGGATGGCATTGACGCCATATAGAAGCGGTCGATATAACGTGGATTCGATCATCCGTCGGCCCAGCCATCCGTCATTAGACCGCTCGTAGTTTAAGCAGTAGCTCGCGCGAACTGCTCAGGTCCGCTCTTTAAGCTCTCACTCAACACAAATGATGATCGTATGCGCATTGCGTCATCGCTTTATGGGTGCGACGGCATAGGCAGTGACAACAACGAGATTCGTCTATTCTAGACAACTCGCTGCTGAAGCCATGAAAACCGCTTTTTCGGCGCAGAAAAGGACAGCACAGCAAAGACAGAAACTTAAATGGCGTATGCAAAAGATGGTTCACTGATTGACTTACCATTAATACCGTGCCGTGTCGTGTTCGGTATGTACTAGATGATTACAGAGCGAGCAGTTACGCCGGGAGTAGGCCAGATATGAGTAAGTGACGAATAGTGCGGTGCTAGGTGGCCCAGGAAGTTGAAGTGCGACCAATAGCGACCACGCACGAAGTTCCCCAGACGGACAAGACTAGATAGCAGCTGATTGGTGGGCAGCGGTCTCGCTTAGGTCGCCGAGTTCAGTGTATTATACTATTATTGTTGTTATAGAATTACCCCGTGCGCCCAACAACTTAGTGTTTATGGAACGTATCCTCTCACAGTAGCGTAATGGTGGTCGTAGGCACGATTTCGCACTGGAATAGATCTTGACACTGTGTATAGAACACGTTCGGAGCAGCAGTATCGAACGCCAACTGGATCAATGCAGATCCTCTATTATGCTTAGATGTTCATTGCACGGTGACAGTGCTTATAACTGTTATAATAATGCTAGTAAAATTCGAATTAGAACAAATCTGCTAGTAAGTAGTCGATCATTGCGCAAACGCTAAACACCGTTATCACCTACGCAAAAATACGCGGCACTTCCTATTGTGGCGCCACAAAGAACGCTTTGTGCATGGGTATTTGTCTGGATAATTGTGCAAACGACACGGGGATTTGTGGCATCCACAGATTTACAATCGCCGGCAGCAGCTGCGCGGGCGCGTACTACGCCGATGGCTGGGACGATGCTGGTGGCAGAATAATTTAATCACGTGAAAGCGAGCAGAGAAAGGCCGCATTCGTTATTGTTGTACTACTGCACTTTCAATTCACTTGTTACTTTAATCAGTGCTGTTGTCGTGGTTGTTGCTATTGTTGTTATCGTTGTGGCTGGCGTCGTTGTCATTGTTAACAGCTCGTTGTAACTAGTTTTCGGCACCGCCTGATCAAATCCGAGGAAACACTGTGGCCGCGTGCAGCTGGAGGACAGGCTTGCCGACACCGTTCCGGTTCGCACAATCCAATTCGTCAGCTTTCGAGCACCCGATTCGAAGGAGCACCATTAATAATAGCAGAAGCAGTGGTTGTCGTGACAGCGGCGCTGGCGCGACAAGTCGGCAGCTCCAGAGTCAGTAGCAAAGCATTGGCACCATGCGATTTCTTGTGGTTTGCCTTTGCTGCAGTCGTTACCAATACGCCGACGATAGTCGAGAGGCGCGACAGAAGACGTCGTCCTGATGACGCTCAGCGCCACCTGGCTACAGCATTACGAACTAACCGTTATCCATGTATCGAGCAACTTTCGCCTCGAGAGCAGCAAGAGCGTTCGGTCTTATGTTGCGTTCTTATAGCGTCTGTCGTGTTATGATCGACCGCAGCGAGGCCCATTTTACTACGGCACTGCGATATTACCAGCACGGCATTGTACGTTACTGTACCGGTGCGCCGGTGACGGCTGCTCCAAGCTGCCATTGCGGCAAGGGGATCAGCACTTGCCTTTATTATCGCCGTTCACGGTTACCGCAGTACACGGTTGTGTTACATTAAGTTGAGTTACGCTGCTACGCTTAACGGGGCGTTCACGTCGGAAGCATGGCGGATATAACTTCGAAGACGGCGTCAACGACGTCTTCGATGGCGGTGAGGACTCCTCTTGATGAACCAAGACCGAATGCTTAGACAAGCGACGGCGAAGTTACGCGCAGACCGGGTCCTATCTTTGGCTTCCGAACCCGCAGCGGATTGCCGCAGAGGAATCACACCACGGATGCAGCAAGTTCTAGCAGTTAGTTGGTGTCTGTCTGCCTGTTTGTTGGCTGGCTGGCTGGCTGGCTGGCCGGCCGACCCACCGACCGACCGGGTGGTCTGTCAGTGGGTTTGGTTGCAGTTTGCCATTTCTCGGCTCAGCTTAGCGCGCGTTCTTTGTTGTGTTGTTACATCAATACGGCGGCAGCGGTAACGGCCGATTAGGGGGTCTCTCCTTCTTCATCTCTGCGCGCCCTCTTGCGTTCCGTTCCCCTACAGCTGCTCTTGCATCGAGAGGTTAGCGCATTATATGTTATACTACAGGGGTGCAGCTATCGTGCGGCCGTCAGGCGTCAATTTTGACTCATCTGTTCGGGCCAAACGTTTTAGGCGCCTACGCTACGGACACGTACAGACACACACACACACAAGCCCATATATATATATATACGTGGTATAAACCAAAATGGCCAGACGGCTTGCTACAGCACACTAGAAGAGGCAGGCACGAATGGCAGTCGCATAAAAAACGCGATAAGAAAATGAAGGCTGCATTTATGCATCCAAGCAAGAGGCAACTGACCTCGGCCAACGCTGCTGCTCCATTGACTGCGCTCGGTGAATTGCTGCACTCGCTTCTTGCTTTAGTCACTCGGGCACCCCGGGGATCACGAATCGAATTGAGACAGCAGAACAGCTGTTCATGGAAGAGAAGAAAATGCACAAGAGGCACCAGAAAACAAAGAAGAAGTGCCGGGGACGCGTTGACGCGGACGGACTGGACGGATGCAGGGGAGAACCGAACGTGGTAGGGAAAAATACGCGGGAAGTCCTCAGAAATAACGAGCAGGCAAGCCGAACCAGTAGAAGTTCGATCAGTTTGACTACAAGAAGAAGACACAGGGTATAATGCGGCAATCAGAGACGGAAGATGTAACGACGGCAGCCAACGAAAAGCAATAGATAACGATCGACGAGCTTACACGATTATGATTAAATCATAGCCAAGTGAGAGATTGGGGTGGCGAAGAAAACGAAAAAAGCGCGTTGAAGAGGATTAACAAAAACACGAAAGGTGGTAGCAGTACAAAGGAATAATAAGGCAACTAGACATAGCAAAAAATGGCCAAACAGGAAACGACATATAGAAAAAAAACTATTATAAAAGCATATTGAAAAAACTAATTTTTTTGTCCAATATCCGTCTACAGTTGTATATGTGACCAACATCAGCCGTGGTCGTTGCTACTAAGCAGACCCGGTAGTCGATGGTTGACGGACCACCAAGAACATCTGTATGCATGATAGCGAAACAGTGACAACTAAAAGCGTGCTCTAGTCAAGCAAACAATTTGAAGCCGAAATAGATGTGCCTTCTCAACGGCGCAGATTGATCACCGTGAAAGACAAAACAGAGCACTTTCCGATCGATGAGGTCGACGATGAAGTTCACGGTACGTCGGTGAAGTGAGCGCTGTAGCAAGTGCTCTGCGACGAAAAACTACCGGCCGGTTGTGTGCCGGCCAATTCGGCTGCTGCCGGTGGAGTGCCAAATTTTTTTGAAGACAGTTCCACGTACCTGATTTATAAAGGTGTGCATATTTAAAAGCCACAGTGTAAATAGGACAACATACGGTCACCCGCGCGGCCTACTGGAAAGATATATAAGGCATGCACTATACGACTGATATTTCAGTTAGAAACGTGCGTGTAAGCCCGCTGCATGCGGAAGGGCTTGCACAGGAAAAAAAATTCAATATACGTTATAAATATAATGATGGTAACAGTTGAGAACTACATTCGTATAAAAACGTTACGCTACGGTAGTATTGCAAGTAAGTCGAGAGCAGTATGTTCAGGAAGAGCAAAGGTATACTTTATTTACAAATTTTCAAGGTCTAAGCCAAGAAGCAAAATGCGAACTACAATTACGTAGATTGCTGCTAAGTGAGAACGGAGCCGGTGGCTATGGCCGGACAATGACTAAAAAATAGCTGAGGATAATTTCTTCAAATGAAGCTGGCTTTCAAAATGCGGTACGGTCCAAACTAGTAGCGCATGGCAGCATTATTTTAGAAACCATTTAACGTAGTGAGTTGAATGGGTGTTTTTATTTCATTTCTACTACAATGATGTACAAGTGCTTGAAGAAGAATGCCAATGACCAAAATGAATGCCTAACCATAGAGCGCTAATGAAGTACGTGACGAACTGACGACGCAAGCTAATGTCTCGAGCTCGTTTGTGGACACAGCGGACGAGCCAGATCTTGCATGCTGGCTATGGAGTCCATGCTAAACTGCACCCCACAAGCGGTCGACATACCCATCTCAAACAGCTCTCAATTTACTACGCGGAACCTGTTTCCTCATAGAACGTAACTAGACTCAAAGACCAGGCCTTAATACGTATGCTTCTACTAGAAGTACAGCCTGCAGCAGGTCTGAACGCGTATATAAGACCATCTAATCGGTGACACAGGTGAAGCCCGGTGTGAAATGTGCCACCAAAGAGGCTGCCGCTGATCCTGCCACGAAGCACAAGGCTTCCGGTCTTCCTGGAATAAACACTAGTAACTACTACGAATAACTACGTAATTATATTTCTTGAGACTTATCCAAATAAATAGAATGTAAGCTAGCTGAGCACGAACTTGGTAGACTTTGAAGTTGAAGAGCTTTTTAGTTAAGCTAGTTAAGCTAGAACAAGGATTTTCAACGTGTTAAAAACGCTCTCCTTTATTCTTTATACATTTATCCCAGCACTGTCGCAGCGTAAGATCAGTGTATATATACCTAATATTCGTGTTTATATATCCAATTTCTCGCTCTATCCATGACTTTTCGCCTTCAGCACTCGAACCTCCTTTGTTGCACCATCCTCGTGCTATGGTTTTTTCATCAAAGCCTTTGCTTTGTTTTTACTAATCTTCGATAAATTTTCACAGCGCTTTGGTTTTTGAGAAGCACAGCCTTGACCACTGAGCGTTGGTTTGCGAGACTAGAAACTTATCTTCCTTTTAAACAAATTTTTCCTACGGTTTTCATAGTATAGCCAATATATTCAGAGGATATTCATTTTCAATGTTCGCCGGATTCGTTTTGGAATAATTTACTTTATTATTGATTTGCCTGACAGCTCAACACCGCATCTATTTGTATGTGCCCCTCAGATCGGAATAAAACCGAAAAGAATACTTTTATCGTTCATTTATTTAAGGTTTATTAAATGAACAGTAGCTTACTGAAGAAAAATAAAGACTTCAGTGTTTGCGATAGTGGAGTGGTGAAGTGCTTACTTACTAAACTTTACGACACGTAGTGGTTAAAGTTCGAAATCGGGCATTGACACACTTCTTTTCGTGCTGGCATGAATTAGCCGTTTGGTTTAAGTAGCAGGCGTAAAGCTCGAAACATAAATTTACAGATTGGAGTAAACAAGCTCAATTTAGAAGCAGAACAACAAAAAGGTACAGTGGATATTGAAATAGTAAGAAAAAAAATAAAAAGCAGGCAGAATGAAATCTTTTCACACGAAACGAATTATCAAACCATAGCAAAGGTAAAATTGCTAGAGTCACTTGGTCGCCTACTGCGACTGTGGTAATATTAGGAATGATGAAAGGTCTTTGATGTTTTTCATTTTTCGTTATTATGGTACTACTTTGTTTATATGCTCTGAGTAGGTCACTTTTGCTAGCTGAAGACAGTGATGTCTTGCCGCTCAACTGAACCGTTTCGTAAGGTAATTTGGTATCGGTTCAACACTCTCGATTTGATTTATCTGACGAATCAATTATTAACTCGCAGTTAAAAAATTTCACTCCATTTAAAGTTGACTTTAATAGAGAAGATTTAAAGAAGAAAATACGGAACAGCACAGCGTTCCGCTACCCCATAATTTCTTGGTGTCTTCATTATTTGTATTCTAGTTATCATTGCTATTGTAACACTATTAACTAGCATTACTGCAACTAATAATCACCGCTTGGAGTACTTTTAGCACCTACTGACCCACGTTTACATACGGTTTTCGAGGGACTGTTTATAAATACATATGCAGGCAGTTATTAAACAAAACAGTACGTTTTTCACCTACACACCAGCGATAGTAGCACTTACCCTATCCAGTGAAAGCCATTGATCTGCTGATCTCTGCACATTCCCTAACATGGGACCCAAGATCACGTGAGCCTCTACAACGGCTTTACATCACACGCAGCCCGCAAAACGAAAATTCGATGTTGACATCCTGCCGAATGCACGATACCAAGGCAGAAACGACCGGTGCGGACTGAATGCAGGCTGCCAAGACGTGCAATAAAAGAGGAAACTCTGCCCTCACGTTGCCTCTCATGACCAACGCTTTCTATGTGGATCGTTTACAGTTGACAAGACACGAGAACAGGTCCCTGAGCGAAGAAAGGGTCACGCGGACGAAGTCAAGACAGTAGCGGTATTATACTGATTCGGCCTAGAACACGAGATTTTGTTATTGTAACCTACAGCAAAAAGGCATTTTTCTTTCTCGTTTCTACTCGCGTATGTTACGCACGTAGCACGGAATACTTGTACCCACCTGGCTTGTGTGATCCCGTCATCGGTCGATTTCCTGCCGTTGACGTCTTTTTAATGTCGTTACTGCCGCTTACGTCGCCGAAAAGGCCGCGTTACACCTCGCAGGTGGACAAATACCTTTATTCACCCAGAATCATATCGTATGCGTACATACGAGCACCATGTGATTCTGCTGGGAGCAGAGCAAAGCGTTGACGAAATTAGACACCTTCGCTACAAATGAAGATGGCGGTGACGGCAACAGCTCCCCTAATAACAACAGCTTGAGATTCACGTAATAGCAGTGAACGGACTGGCCGTAGCAACGCCATAAGTGATGTCTGCCAACGGCTTTCTCTTTTCCCTTGTTCTTCTTGCCTAGAAACGTATCGCCAACAACTTGCCGACCGGCGGTCATTGTTGTTTATGGCTTCGTGCTGGAACATGGAGGAGTTAACGGCGGAATTGGCAGCGTTTCGACCTGTCAATATTGCTAATTCCATTTCTGCTGATTGCGGCAGCCGTAGCGTGGTAACTATTTAAGCGTGTTACTGACAGACATTTTACCGTCGACACGCGAACACCAGGCAACTTCTTCGCCTTCTGTTTTTACTGCAGCCTACTACAATGATAGCGCTACTTGATAAGAGAGAAATGGCAGATGTTTGCAAGTCTATATATATATATATACATATTATCTTTTGAAGAAAAAAAATCTATTTGAGGCTAAATGGTACGAACGCTTGATAGAAGCAGAGCTTGTTCAAGTCACAGAAAAGCTCAGTTTAGACACTGGGTTGCCGATTTAATTCAATTGAAGGGCCCTTAGTCCACGGGACTTGCAGGAGTTCATCTTAACGCTCGTTTGGTATGAAGTGGCTGAAGTGATGTTCGTGGAACAAAGGATGCTTTCATCTTGACGCGCTATAACCGTCGAAGTTAACGAGTCCTAGTTACAACGAAATTTAAGATGTGTTAAAATGTATTCAGAGCGGCAGTCTGTTTGCAGATTTCTTTAAAATACAGAACTCAGCTTCATTTACGGCGCCGAGCGATCTAAGTTTGGCACGCTTCTCGTCTGTTTGGTTCTTCTCTGTAGTGTTGCTCTAGATAACTTTTTAAAGCGGTAAAATAAGTTGAACGCCGACGACAACGCTTAATTAGCTTTTGATGAGACTTTGCGTTGCAAAAATAAAAGTTTATGCGAAAATACCTCGAACATAATTATATCGGAAATAGTTATTGAACTAGCGCAGGATAGCTTATTTGCTGGTATCGTTAGAACAATAATAAATAATATACAGCATATTCATGCGTAACTCAAAGAAAAAGGAAAAGCGAGCAACGACGTATTAAGAAGCCCTAACTGAATCTTAATGTCAGTTTGTGCATAATAAAGGGGGCGACTTGTTTATAAAGCGATGGGATGCCTTTAAAGGCTTCTCTGGAATTCCGTTAGCACAAGAGAGTTTACGGTTCTTTCGATAGAACATTATACTCAGCATTAATAAAATCAACGACTAAAAAATTGTGCGTAAGGACTCGATAGGGGATTAAGGAAGTAATCTTTTTAACGTTTAAAGTTTAACCGTTCAAGTTAAAAGTTGAAAAACGCGACCCGAGTCAACAAGTTGTGAATAAACGGGTACGAGTAGTTGCGCTCAAGTGTTATTAGCCGAATGTCGGCTATTAAACGTTGAAATGACGCAGCAAATGCTGGTCTATAAGTTATCGAAACGCTCAATTTTAAAAACAATCTTCTGATGACAACATAGCTTTACTTAAAATTCGACTCTGGTACAGCACTGCTATACAAAAGCGTTTAACAAACTCATCCGTTTGTCTCATGTTGTCATGTTTTTAACAAACCTGGTCAACTTCAAAAGTGACTAGTTTATATGTTCTATAGTTTTCGTTTCTCATTTACCTACAAAATAGGCAAACCATTCGTGCCGATTTGTGATCGGTAGCTTTGCCTCAAGTACTGATCTGATCTGAGAGTAGATTTGATCACTCAAAAATATGGCGCATTTGTTAACACGAATAGACCAAGTAAACAATGTAGTAACGAGGATTTTGGACACGATTTCTGTGTCTTTGGACGCTGATAGCGAGAAGCAGCTGCTTTCCATATAGTATTCAAATGAAATACCTTTGCTATAATTGAAAACTCACTAAATGATTCATAATAAATGTGTGTGTTTTATATCATTTGGCAACGATTTCACATGTGATTGGAAACATTCAAAACTAACACGCTTTACATCGTTGATGTCCTAAAGTAAATCAATTCACCTTATACGTGGACATTATAACAAAGTTGAATCATGTTGTTATATCCATCGTGATCTCGCTAACTGAATGAGGACCCAAACAATTCTCTAACCAAATTTAATGTGTGTTTTTTTCTTCGTTACCATACAGATTAGCATACGGAGACAAGCATGACATTTTAAAAATTCTATAGTTGTCAACTGCACGTAAAATTAATTATACATCAAGACCCGCGCATCTCAATGGCGCGTAGCGTGATTCCTATTATATTACCGTGTAACATTGACTACCATGAAACGCTTGGTCTCAAAGTGTCGCCTTGTAAACGTTCGGAACTCACGTTCACACAAAATGCTTATCACATTCATTTAGTAAAGGCTTTGGTTTTGTGTTCTTTTTTGGTATCGCCATAACGAAGGTATAATAGGATAAAATGATGAAAAATCATATTTTATAGCATTTTACTTTATTAGCGTTAGTGCTTATCTTACCACTTCATCAATAATAAACTACATATTAGATATTCGTATTTTAAATGTAGTTCTGTTTTCAACAAGGTTATTGCTGTGTCTATAGCGAATCTGGTCCTAGCCTCAGGGAACAAACCTGAGCGCGCAGAGTTCAGTGTCCTTGTCAGTCCTTTACACGCCATAGCATATTCCCGACACCAACGTTCACATGGCATATTGAAAAGCCAGCTCGATTTTAACTTAATAAGAGGCCGCTTAGTCACGTGGCGCCTGTGGCTATGAAATTTTAATAATGGACAACACCGATCGCAGAGCTACTATTTAAGGGGTAGGCTTTCCACTACCCACCAACATCTCGCCGAAGCTTTCAGAAGGTTAGGTTCATGGACCAACGAAACATTGCGTGCGAGGTTTAAATAATTCGTTACTCTATCTACATATCTATCTGTACGAACATTTACATGTAGAGGGAGAAAAGGTTCACCTGCTCTTTCTCTCTCCTTTCTTCCAGTTTAGTTCCCCTTACAAAAGGCTCGTGTAGTCCTTAAACACAAGACGCGATTGCAACGTTCTACAATCTTTGGGATGACAAACAATATGGTACATGGTGAATCTAGTAACGATCCTTAATTCGTTTGAACTTGGAACAGACAGAGGGAACGTCTGTTTTGACTAGTATTCATCCGCCAGCATTAAGCTCTGTCAGGAGGTTCGGAGCAATATCGTGAATGGGTTTTGTGTGTACCGGTTAATTTGACCATGAATATTATTCATGCCAGGATTGCACAAATGACTGTGGAATTGTAAATAAATGTGCGAGTGAGTGACTTGCAATGCAATTCGATCGAAAGTGGTCTTCCTAAGTATCCTTCCTAAGTATAGGTAAAATCACATAGCTATGCCTGCCAGAGCCTATTCTGGGTGTAACTACTCAATACCATGGAAGATAGGCATCGATCACCAATCATAAAGGCCAGCGACGATTACTTAAGATGATATAGACCTTGTGGACAGTTCGGGTCCGTTGAAACGTGTATCCATGGCCTGCCACCACAAAGTAGGATGGTGTCTCTAAAAGGAAGCACCACAAAAACAGTTAGGAACGTCAACTCTGAATCGACCTACGGCAACTATATGATCGAATGTTCAGATACTCAATTTTTTGCTACTGAGACGTATCTTTCAATGCGGATACCGACTAGATTCTAAATATGGCTTACATAATAGTATAGGTTTGCTAGGAGCTCGCTAGCTACCAAAATGGCTGGCAATTCTTTTATTTATGAGGCATAACAACTGAAGCTCGAATTCGAAACAACTACACGCTGACTAAATGGAAAACTAATCACCGGCACTTCTCCGTAGCATCCTCGGGTTTGACTGGCGTCTGCGTAGTCCAAAAGATACCTGCAATGCATTTAAAGGTTGACTAATACTAGGACGTACTACAATACAAAAAAAGGGTAAGCGGCAGATACTTTATAATTGGATACTAAGCAACTAACTATGACGTTGGTGACGATAGTAATTAGCTAGTGCCAGTATCTAAGTATCGTCTGCAAACGTGAATAAGATGCCCGAGGAAACTGTCATGGTAAATGTGGACAATAAGCTGTTCAAGGGAACTAGCTAAATTATTTCAATTACGTGGTATTCAATTACTATTAAAATAACTGTGCTACAAATATGCTTATCATATATAATATACAGGGATCACCCGCTAGTACCAGCGAATGCTGTCAATTGACTTTACGCTTTGTCCTTATCTAGCAGTTGCGATGGTTGAGGGGATCGCTGGACTCGTTTCAAATCTCAATAACCGTATTTCTACTACAGTTACTGTACTGAATAATTACTTAGATTGCTATATCTAAACATGTATGTTCTGTACACTCACTATAGCAACTCGTATGTATAGATATATGGTGCCGCTCGGCGCTCACCTGCCTACGTTCACCTTTTTCCAATGCAGTCGCTGCTGATTTTGGGTCAGCGATACGCGATTTTCACAGAAACTACCCTGACTCGGGGCGTTGTCTGGCCTTTTTAGAAAAACACGGGCCCATTTTCTACCTAGATGGGTCAACACGGAAAAGCTATCAAATTATTAAATCATTCAACATCAACAAGCTTAGTTTGCATTTTACGGATCCACAATCAAACAGCGCAGTCTTCAACTTTCATCAAAATACTGTTAATAGAAAATACTTGTTGTAAAAAAAACAATACGCTAAAATCTAAATGCAGTATGGGAATCTAGCCCAGACACTAAGTTAAAGGCACCATTTTTTTTATCAACTTGAAATTGAATGAACAGACCTATACAAAAGGGGTAACTGATAGTCCTGTTGTCTGGCTTTTGCATGATAATAATGAAGCCACAGCGTGAATAAAGAATAATATTTTGTTACTTCCATTAATGTCGAGACGTATCTCGCGTCAGTATCAAGCTAGGGCCATCCTGCTGCTTCGCAACTTTATTGCTTTTCAATTTTTTAAAGAAGTTCTTAATCTTGTAGAGAAAACAATAAAGATTAAGAACTTTTTTAAAGAAGTTCTTAAAGAAGTTGAAAAGCTATGCCAGTGCAGCAAAAAAAGAAATACATGTTCCTATCTGAAACCATCCTTGCAAGTACTTAAAAAACAAATCGATAAAGCAAAATAATTTTCTCATATTTTATTCTTGTAGGCCTTATTTATAATACAGCAGTCAACAAGGAAACACTAAAATCCACTAATTCAAAGCATTGAACTCAATTATTACTTTCAGGACCTTCTTGCCGATAAGCGAAAACATACCGGACTCGGAAAATTTAACTTGAGCTGCTACACTAAAGTATACTGAAGCCTTAGGTGCAAAGCCTTCTTAATTGGGCCAATAAAAGCGACGAAATCATCCAGCTACCCTATGCGGCTTGCAGAAGCCGACCAAAATAAATGCACCTTGTAATATCCGGTCTTCATTACTCGCTCATTGAGACGGACCGTAAATTTACAAATAATGAAAGTATAGCTGACGTCCGGTTCTTTCAGAACAGTCTAAAGTAATTACCAAGATGACAATTCGATATCTTGTGTGTGTGTGTGTGGCATAGCAAAAACTAGTGGTCGAAAACGACAAATCAAAGTTACACTATCGGACTTCAGATGTATTACAATGAAAAACAAATACTTCAGCCAACATACATCGCAAACTACCATTGGCAAGAATTTCTACTTACCTACTCTGTAAAGAGTCTTTTTGCCTCGCAGGACAGTTACCATCTGGTTTGCTTTGTTTCTAACCTCTTTGATTGTGAGGCTTTGGCCTTCGGTTTTTTTGCGTGTAACAAATATTGCCATAGCACGATCGACTTCCTTCAGTAGGAACTCGTCTGCGAGTACCGGAAGTGCTCCCTGCAGCCAGGAATGTAAATTAGGACGAATCACACAAAATACAAGATTCAATTCTACTTGATGCACGGAAACGTACGGACCAGCTCAAACAGAAAATAATAGCCGTTCGACGTAACGTACATTAAGATATGTTGAAGTGAAGAAAGAACAAAAGGTTTCAATGTGGCGATCGTTGAAAACTTCACAGCAAGCCCAATGATATCCCAATCAAACGATATGATGTTCGTGTTTAGATGACCTCCAACTAATACGTGGCTCAAAATAGAAGGCGATGTATCAAAACAACATCCAATTTGGTATGGATAAGATATCGTAGAAGAGCTAATGCAACAAGAGTGGCTAAACAAAAATGATTCAATTTCTTTTCTTATTTCTATATTACAACAACAATAATAAAAAAAAAAGGTAGTGAACACGCAGAGAATTGACACTCACGTCCGTTCGCCTGACGCATATCCGCGCACGGGATTTACACACTCCACGCAATCTTCGACTGTCTACAAACAGAGGCAAATTAACTTCATTCATCATATGTTATCTAATCACATATTCAGAACGTACCGAACAATTAACTCTACTAGAAAAGGTAACTTTCGAGCCGGGTTAGAAGAATACGCATGCGGATGTCATCTCACTTTTACCGAGACGAGGTCTGATGGCCGTAAAGGTTTTTAGATAGTCGATAGATTGTCTTCTTCGACAAGCGTCCGAACAATCTGGAGAGCTGCGAGCGGTATACTCCATGGACTCAACCGAACCAGCGTCAAGAATAGTGAGCTTTTGGCAAATCGGCAAAGTCGGCGTCGGTGGTGGGGTCAGCGGACGCCGAGACTGCGTCGCTCCATATATGTGTGGATAGAGCGCTGCCTGTAATTTTCAGTGTTATTGTAATAGGTTATTATTCCACAAATGTGCTGTTTGTACAAGTGAGCAGAATTTTTGAACTTTGTATTCGCTACTACTTAGGTTGCACATCGCTTCAGACGGGTGACTTCCTCAATCGCGTAGGGAAGTGCGTTGATTGCAAACCTAGACCACCCCACTAAGCGCCCTAAAATTCATTAGACGAGAAAGATAACTGTTTATTGAAATTCCGCTAAAATTTTCGAGTGCATTAGCAGTGAACGTACGTGCGCGTCGCATTTCAACTCCTATATTTAGTTGTAAGCATTATAATAAAGTAAACGGTACACTTTGTAGCTGTCAGCGTGACAAGTCAAACTAGTTAACAAAAAAAAAACAGCTTGTTCTTAAGACAAAGTCAAATTTATTCCCGAATTATTGTAACATCCGATATAAACATTCTGGCGTCTTCCTTTTTTATTGGAGGCAACTTCATTATGTGTTTCAATAACATACAAATTTTATGAAGTCATCTACAAGGAGAATCTCACTCACATGAGGCGGTAGACCCATACCGGGTGCAGAGTACTCAGAAATCCTCTGCATTAAAACCCCTTCCTGGCGTACATCTACGAGGTAATCTCTTTCCCCTGTAGCGTCGATCGCGTGTCTACAACCACTCGCTGTACCCCGGCCGCCTGCTTCCATGATAGATGAAGCTTGCTTGTTGGCTCTAAAATAATTTATGCTTACATTAGAATTGAAGCGAATAATAAGTATATTCTATCAGATTTAACTCTATGATTGAATGAAAGCAGTTCAACCTACGACTACAAACAGCCCAAACCGTCTCTGAGTTTTTTTTTTCCTAGACCGCTCCGCACAGAGTATTTAGTTGCTTGAACGCTATTTATTTACTCGATTCAAATAAGCATCTTCTCATACGGCTACGGATAACACGTATGCTCCGGCTCATTCACTACAAACAACAATGTTACGACATCTAAGGCACTTGTTAGCGTAAGTTGATTCTCACAGTAGTAACTATTATAAAAAGAGGCACAAAAACAATCGTTTTTCTAGCTCAAGTTCAAGGTCGACTCAGAATGCAGTGCTTACCAATCTGCGCTACCGCCTTCTTAAGCCGCCACGGTGCGCGCCAACTGACATTCGCAAAACACAACCCGTTGTTTACATCGATCCCTGTGTGAGAACGCTGGCCGCCACAGTGAATATGACTATCGCATTAACTGTACTACAAATGATGGTGGTGATGATACCAAGGCAGAAGAAGTAGGCCCCCCTTTTGCTCGTTTGTACTCGGCCAAATCAGCGACCTACCGATGTCAAATGCTTCGTTTACACATAGAAACAACCACGGCACGTGTGACCCACACATTTCGTAGGTTGAAGATCGCGCGAGAGAAAGCTCAACGTCGTTTTCCGAACGGAATGCCTCGCCCATCACGAACAAAGGATGTGGGTTGGGTTGACATTCTAAAGGGAAATTCGTTGCTGCTTAATACTGCCTTAGTATCCAGGAAAGATATAGAACGATATTAGCGTCACGTAATGTTAGCTCACCTGAATATGCCTGCATATATACTGAAACATTATAGTAACATTTCTGCAATTACTTGCTATACAGTAGAAAGCTGGCTGCATCTTAATCAAACGGCCTGTCGCCTCTAGATCACTCGCCTCGTATTCCCTGTGGAGCTGAGTGCTAGTTACATGATTGCATGTCAGAGGAGTCCATTTTTAGTTTATAACATTTAGGTTCGCGCCTAAAATCTCGTGATAAGAATGCAATAATACCGTATTTAGATACTTCTCTTGGGCCGGTCCTTGACTTGGAGACCCTCACAGTATCTACGACGTACTCCCAAATTTCTAAGTTTAGGAGCGCGGAGGTGGTCTGGGTTTGAAACTGGGCAAAAACACATTTCGTTCTGTGCAGAAAACGTCTGAAGCGACTCCTAACGACAGTTACAGAGGTGAAACTCGAAGCGTTTATTTTTGAGTTTGGCCTTAGGTCGTAAAAGAGAGTCATAACATCATTTATGCAGCTGAAGGCATGAAGAAGCCTCTCTGTGTAGAAATACGTTTATTTCGTCCCGTGTCCTTTAATTCGAAGCCAGTCGTCCAAAATCTATTGGCAACAAGAATATCAATAAGATAGTTAATTGCACTGATTTATGATGCCCTGTCTGACCTCGGCAGCACTGAATTCTATCTTCTAAAAATTTATTTGAAATCAATTCACTATTGGCTGCTTTAAGAGGTCTAACTTTTTAGATCGACAAATGTTAGGCATCATTAAGCAGAAATGACCAGGCGTCACATCCGCTAAATACATTTTCAGTTTTCTGCTAAGTTTTGTGGATCTTTAAATGCGGACCCTTCAGGCTTGTGTATTATCTGCGGGAAAATTCTGAATTGTAGGAGTCTCAGCTGTATTTCAATGAACAGCAGCTCTTTACCACTTCATTTTTCTACAGCACCCCACGACGTTGTACAGATTAAAAGGAAATAATACGCTTTGCCCCCCGACTTCTTATATGTATGCTTCGATTACTACATACAGAAGCTATAAACCTAGCAAGACTAAGGGAATTGGTTGTGTTTATTTTGTGTCAAACGTAATCGTCGTGGTCGCAAGCGAGGTCTTTCTTCTTGGGTGCGTTAGTTTAAGAATTATGAGTTTAAAGCTTTAAATAAAGCGTATGAAAAAAGAATAGATATCTAGAACATAAGATTAAAGTTGTGCTTTTCCTGTAACCACGTATTTAGTGAGTAGAAGAGATAAGCGTTAGTAACTGAAGTATGAGCTCATACCAATTTTCAATGTTCTCTTTTTTTAATACGTTCTGATATAGCTAGAGTGTAATATTTACATACATATAAGAAAAAGAGCACCGCGTGCCACTCGACGCATTTTATTACAGGCACCACACAATCGAACACATTATTCAGAACGTATTTTACTTGTACACCTTGAAAAACTACCATGCACTGTGACTCATAATACTGGACATACGGGAAAGCAGGTGCACCTGGAACCTGCTGACGAGGGAGCGATGGCAGCTACAAGACCAGCCGGGAGGTGACACTTGTTGTATTGAAATAAAGTCTAAGCACTTCAAGTTTCAAAAAAGAAGTCAAGAATATTACTGATCCCCTAATGAATGATATTATTGATTCGCTCTCTTCTCGAAAGACAAATGAAATTACAGTTTCTAAACGACAAACCCAATAAATGAACGAGGATTTGACTGGCGATCATGTGATGGCGATTAGATAACTAGAATAGCAAAACTGTTTGGTAAAACAGCACCCGACTAAAATTTTAATTCGAATCCAATTATATCACAGTGCAATAGGGGTTGATAAAATGATTTATAATTTTGTGCTTGTACGGTGAGAAAGACGAAAAAAAAAATGGCCGGGCGTCGAAGATAATGGTGTTGCGACATTACGATGCATGAGTATCAAAACGTTTCGTTATCTTTAAGCCTGATTGAGAGCCTCCATGATAGCGCGGAAAATAACGTGCTTGGCTGTTGAACTTAAGAATACGTGATGATCTGGGTTTGATTCAGACGTGAGCACACGGTTCGTTGAACCGCCCATTTGAAGCAGTGCTTAACAACTCAAGTACCGAACGTGAAATGCGAAAAAACACGTCTATTGGACCTAGAGTGGAGGTCCAATTGTTTTACTCGTAGCCAGCATACAGCAAAGACTTATTTTCTATACCAAGTACGGCACATCAGCGAGTTTAATATATCGGGTAGATTAATTGTAATGACTGAACTTAAATCACCAATGGTCGTCTATCTTGGCAACTTTCCTAGGGAAATACGCACCGCACGCTTAACCCGTTTTGGCATTTATCTCCATATACTGTACTTTTTTTTTTTTGTAAATTTAAATCGAACGGTTTTTAGGCACTTAATCTAGCCAGCATAACGGCATATAGGTCCGGACTAAACTACATGTCTCCTACTAGAGATTATACTGTTGAATCTATGAATTTAAGTTTATTAATTGAATGTATGAATTGCTTTGTCCAACGAACGACCTACGGGGAAATCCAGTTATGTTTAGCTATTAAGTAAGAAACTTTAATGGGCGAATAAGATACAAATCTAGTACAACACATGATACACTCATATTTTGATAGGTACGGTGAAAGTTAGGCTCCGCACTTTGGTGCAGATGCGAATTTGCCAATTTCCGCGCGCGTTTTCACTATCTTCGTAACATGCACTCTCCCAGAGCAAGATGGCGGCCCGCATTGTTTTCCTCGACATGTTCCAATCCAATTGCATGTGTCCCCTGCACGGGTCTCTTGTTGTCCTCTTCTATGAGCTGGGTGTGAAAAGCTGTTTGCAACATCGGTCTCCCTCTCCAGATCTTTATTTGTACGTGGTTGGCTTTAGCGGATAGGACCGCGGGCCAGTGTGCTCAGCGCTGTCGGTTCTATGTTGTTATTTTTGTTCTGCTTAGATGGATCGCCGCTGTCCAGCTTTTGACGGTCGGATAAATCGAGCCGCTAAGTCGTTGAGTTAGACTGTGTTGTTCTTTGGCGCGTGGCCTGCAGAGAGGCTTATCGGTAAGTTTTTAGTGAAATGTATATCTCGCACACAATATGATGTACATCACGTGAAGAATTCTCGCGAGTTCGGTTTGTGTGATCAGGGTGACCCTACTGGTGCTTAGTTGGAGCGAACCCTCAGTATGTAGTTAAATCCTACAACGTACCGTATACTTCTAACTCCTCAGACAGAGACAAAAGGAGCGGAGTCTTCGAAGCGGCAGCTGGACCATTTTCGCGCGGTACCAGCATCAGGAAAATGTATAAAATTTAATTAAATTGGGCATTTTAAACGAGTTCGTATGTATAGCAAACGAATATAGAGATGCCAACGTTATTGATATGCACACTGTTCATTCTCACAAGTGCTGGTGTTTCAGATGAGACAAAATTAAAATCCTTTGTTGCTATAAAAATCCGGAGAATCAAACTTGTGCATGCCCAACTGCTAATTCTTTGCACTAGGGGTCGATCACGTAAAAGAGTAAAATTGTATCAATGTGTAAATATTCTCACATTTTGAAATAACAGGGGCAGCAACAGGCGAATGATGAAGCTATGTAGCAATGAGATGCTAGATGGTGACATTAAAGAATTAAGATAATAAAACGCCTGACAGTACTTACCAGAGAGACAAAAGACCCTCCATAGCTGACATGATTTCATGCACAGATGCCATATAGTCCTTGCATGGTCTATTTGTCGAATCGCTTGTGTTTCCTTTATTAAATTTCGTTTACTATAGCTCCTGTAACTATCTCGGAATCTTTGGCTGCGTGGAACTGTTTCGAGGCTTTTACCCCATCCTATATACGAGTAACCCAACAACCAACCTTGTACAGATTATTCGGTTTCTTCTGATATACTATTAATACACAAGCTTTCGACTAGCGTGCTCAAATTGTACAAATACTTCAGTTACGCTGCATCTTACTTAAAGTGGATCTATCCTTAATGGATAACTTTGATCCTCGTACTTGACGCATTGGAATGGTATAGCCAAGAGTTAATAATGCTCAACTTCCATAAAAGCCCCCATTAACTACCCATGTAACGAATAAGTCTAGAGTCTATATCAACGCAATTAACGCTCTAATATTCTGATTTTCTATATTTCCATGTAACTTGATGGTCCCAGGCAATGCCTGTCTCGATACGGACGGGGTCATCGATTCGACTTCCGTTCGTTCCAGCACGTGTCAAATTTATTCTTCTCGCCTGTGGCAGTGCCATCCTTGTTGTGGGGGTAACGACTCGTCTATGGCTGAGATGGCGACGTGGGAAAGATGCTCACGCAAATGGAGGGCCAATGTCAGAACTTCGGACAAAGCTCTATTCCTTTCGCGGACTAAATGGCGGCAAGTGCTCTCCGAATTGTTAATGCGTTATTATTGCAAAAGCCGCACACAAAAAGTCTTCGATATAATCACTCGTATTCATCCTATCCGTCTCGAAACATCCCTTAAGCTTACGTAGACGAAACATCTTACAATCAGGGTACTTCAAATAAATGAAGTTTTGCTCTCGAGCTAGTTGTGATTTAACAATTATTTTTAGGCGTGGAATTCATAAGAGGTCCTTAGTGTACATAGATTGAATAAATTCAATATTTACTAGTTAATATGATGACAACTATTAGCACTATCACGATCGTCTTAGTATTTTTATCTATAGCATTTAAAATTTACATAATCGGTGAAGATAATTCATAATGAAGCACTGACATTTCGTAGGATTTTTTTCCTTTATTCGCCATAGATATACCTCAGCTACGCAGCATGCCATCGCCGTTATGCGTACGTTGCCGACAGTCACGTGAGGCTGATCGAGTGTCCACAGCTACCCTCGGCAGTTCAGGAAGGGGTAGTGCCGCAGGAGGGTTCAGTGGAGCGGGCGGTGGCACTGGCAATCTGGTCGAATCCCGCACCCAAGAACTGAGTCCTCAGCAGCTCGGCGTAATGGGGATGGAAGCGTTGGATACAGCAATTCACTACTGGGATGACTCGATCGGCGTCTTTCAGTCTCTGCCCGTGGGGCAAGCCGCCAACCATGTGATGGCTCTGCCGGTACGTAGCATTTTGATCGTGATCCACGCAGCTGAAAATTCACCTATACTGTATACGCGCGTAATAAAGTCGCTCGTTAATAATATCAGTGGTAATTTCATGTATTTCTGCCGTATGATTTCTGTATCGTTGTAATATAACGGCTGCAAATCCAACTTTCATTATATACACATATGTTTAATATACACATATAAGTGCATATACATTTGTAAGGTCGGCAATTGACAACAATTTGGCTGTGATCATTCGATTGCAGACAAATGCTGAGGCTGAGTTTGTGGCGCAGCTGCAAATTGTCATGAAACAAGCTTTCAAACTTCGTGATAACTGTGCAAAACTTTTTTTGGATAATACCTCTCTATTGTTCCAAATTAGCGATGACAATCGAAGTTCTATTGCCGGTGGATATAGCAGGGACTATGACAGGTAAATTCGTAGTTTCTTCGTAATGAGTAGATCTCAGTGTACTTGGAAAACCAACGTCGATCCCAGTTCCTAATCTACTTTTTTATTTTAATTGAAACGTGAAATGATCAAACTTTAAGATTATTATATATCATTATTATAAAATTCATGTTTACAGCATAAGATCTACTGGGAGCAAACTCCCAGAAAAGAGGTTAACCGATTTGTCGTCTGGGAGCTTACTATTTTCACTTGATATAGATTTGATGCTCGTACTGTGACGAGCTTTGATGACGAAAGCTTCGTCTCTGCTGAAGGGGATATCGCAAACCTGAGAGATTTCGAAGAAGCTCTCAATCCCGACGACCTAAAACTGTATCAGAATGCACTTCAAATGCTTAAGCTCGATGGTAGGTGCAACACTTAACCTATGTATTCTAACTAGCCTTTCCTATCTTATCATACTCTAAATAAAATTATACTTTGGTTATTTTGCAGATGTGCATTTTTATGCCTAGGAGCTGTAAACAGTAGCATGCTAAAGCCAAATTCATTCAAAGGGTCTTGCTTAGCATTCTAGAGAAAGAAATGTTTGTAAAAAATGCTCGTCTATACCGGCGGAGTTTTACCCCCGATCTCTAATTTCTAGGTACGGAGTTCAGTGATGGTTGCCGGCCTATTGAACTAGATTTCATTATCATGTCCTACCATTCTCATCATTTGTAGGTGTTCCTGCGCGTGCTATTCGTACTCAGCTGGTTGGATGCCAATCAGACGAAGAATATTTGGCAAAACTGCATTGTGTTCGGTTAGCCTTTGCCCATTTGACAAGTCAGCCTGCCATCCGAGAAATGTACGTAGATGCAGGGTCGCAGATTCTCGCTGGTCTACTTGTCTATGCTGAGAAGGACCCGAAATTCTGTCTCGAAGCGTATGCCAAACTCATCGAGTGGGTCGGTCAACCCACAAACCGCGATGTCATGGAGCAGGAGCTGCGTGCGCGCGGGGTTACTGCGCTGACGATCTATGATGTCGTGTTCGATTTTTTACTCATCGAAGCGTTCGACGACTTGGACGATCCTCCACAGTCTGTTGTGTCCGTTATTCAAAACAGATGGCTTTCCGCCGGCTTTCGCGAGACGGCGTTGTCCACTGCTATCTGGTCGGTCATCAAGGCCAAGAAGAGCAGAGTAAAGGTCGATAATGGATTTTTCACGCATTTCTACGGCGTAGCAGAGAACCTGACTCCTGTTCTGGCCTGGGGCTTCCTTGGCACCAACCAGGATCTAAAAAAGACCTGCCTCTTCTTTAAGGTTAGGTTTTTCTACTTTGGAGTTAGGTGTTGCTATTACGAAATTGATAAACTCGCCTAAATATGACGCATACTTGGAATGTAACCCAAACTCATAGCCCATCTTGATCATTCAGTTCTTCTTGAAAAATGTTCTCCAAATATGCAACACATGTTAAAAAACAATACAAGTAGTTTTCTGTCTGATCTAAGTGAGTTTAACCCATACATGTTTCATGTTTTACGTTTTTTACCGCCTCTAAGCATTATTTCAGACAAGTTTAATCTGTGGCTAATAAATATAGCCTGCTTATTTCTTATTTTTTCTATTGAATACGCGTTACAGCAAGAAGTGATGAACTTGATGTTGGAACTATTTGATTTCCGCAAAGTTCGTTACACTTCTGTCGAAGAGATGGCGGAAGACGTCTATGGACTGTCGCAACTCACCGTGGATAGGATCGCGCAGAGGCTCGGTATCTGAACGCGCAAACGGTTGCAGAACAAAAAACTGGGGCGGAACGTTTTGAACATAACGCTTAGCTTTGCCCGATCATTTCTGTCACTAGAAGACAAGATGGCATTTCAATGGAGACAGGCAATTGCTGGGACGTTTATGTACAATACAAATACTTGCTGTAAAAATAATAGTAATAATACGTTGTCATTGTCTACAATGAACAGTAATGTTGCTTCGCAATGCTGTTACTTCTCACAAAAAAACGTGCGCATAATTGTTACTGCTTTGCCTATTTAGGAAGTATAATACCGTATGTTGACGTTACAGCGTTGATGCGGTTATGATTGGCTTACGTATCTATTGTTGGTAACTCTGGGATTGATTGACTCACATATATATATATATATACTCAGCCAATCTTGAACGCGTATCCGATTTCGTCTCGAGGAAAAAGAAATGAAGGAATGCCGTCTAAATACATTGTGGTCATTCCTGCCCCGTGTTGTGCAGCAGCTGTCACAAATTTAGGATTTAGGAGTCTTTGACTGACCTGAGCAGAACCAGGGTGGCCCGGTATATATGCTTGCTAAGCAGGATACAATTACTGCAAATAAATCACTACTTTGTTTTAAAAAAATCTGCTGTATAAGACGTAAAGTCTCTCTAAAGAAAAAAATATTTGCGCTCCATCCTATATAATTGGAATAGCGTAAAAGACGTGTGCACGCCTTTCAGTGTTTAGAAAAACTAACAGTTCTAGACATTTCTTCTATGTGATATAGTTGCTTCTATAACACTTTTCTTTAACCGTGCTTTTCGACTGTCAGTAATGTGTGAAAATGCGCTAGGAATAGTTAAGATTAAACAAACCTATCCAACATTTTATCGGTGCTACTTTGTCGATAATTTTGTCATTCTGATTTCTTAAAGCTCAAGATCTCTTAGGGGAGCTGAATTACGCTTCATTTTACGAATAGACTATTACGAAGAAAACTAAAGCAACTGTGTAACCACTTATTTTCTTACAAATGCATGATTTCTTAAGAAAAGGATGGAAAAGCTGGGGACACTTGTAAATAGAATTCCTACTGCTTGTAGTATATATACATGTAAGTGAACACATGTGATTGTTGTCTTGTTAACTAGCGTATTTCGATCAATCGGGGATAATTTATTAGTATGGGATAACTGAATGCATTACCTGTTGTTATGTCTTTGATATAATAAAACTTTCACTGACTTATCCTGTAATATTTGAGTGTTGCAGTTCATTATCTAAATATACATATAGGATGAACCATGTGTAGACAGTGGTAATCTTTATCTGACAGTGTCCTCTAATCAACGGTTGATGAGCAGGTCGCACACCACCTTAAAGCACATATCTATAACCAGTACAAATAATGAAGATAGTGCATTTGCCCTTTTTAAATTGCAACAACTGAATCATTATGATACCATTCTAAAATCATCCGGAGACAAATAAAAGGCAAGGCAATAGTACCCCATGTTTTATTCTACATTTTGTGGCTATCTTCTATTCGATATTAGCTTCGTCAGCGGTAAAATGGGGTCCCTAGATGAGTTACTTTCTAGAATATTTTATACCGCATTTTATGAACAGCTGGTAATTTGTAGTGTTTTTGCTAGTAAGATTTTTCTAACCCATGCCGAATGTTCACTTATTAATGAAAACACCAATAATGTAAGTGCATTTAGATTTACACATATATAT